CAATGAAACATGATTATTATTCATATTTTGTTTTCAACAAGAAGGAATAATTTAACTGGTTAGACAAGGGATAGATTAATTAGAATGGTTAAGCTCGGTTATATCTTTTCTTTTGTAATCTATGGTTAGGGATATTCTTCTATCAACCATGTCTCTAGATGCATACCATTTCACTGCTATATAGCTAAGTCTTGTAACAATTAATTTTCTGTAGAAATGGTTTAATCTATATATATCTTCTCTTTGCTTTCTTTCTAGTGGCAGTTGTGAAAGAAGATAAAGCCTGAAATTGGGTTATGATTAAGACACATAAAACAGGTAAACCCGGGAATAATAACTAACATAATCATAAACAATTAGCACTAAAAATGTTTACTAAAAGCATCACAAAGACGTGAAGAAAAGGGAACAAAAAATAAAGCAAGAATCTGGGAGATGAGTTTCGCAAGACATGTCTTCGTAAAGGTGTCTTCAAAGCTATGATTAGTCTCGGTGGTCAATAATCAAAATTTTATATATCAATAAAAGGCTTCATCTTTATAATTTGTATTATGGGATTAGTATACCTTCTTCTTTTTTTTTGGGTCAAAGAAGATTAGTATTACCTTTTTCATCGTTTTTTTATACCAAAACTATTTGTAACGACCTCTTACAATCATAATGATTGTGAAAACCCCATTAACCAAACGGTTAGATCTTAATCTCCGAATATATAAAAATTTCAATGATGAAAATAAAAAGAGAAAAAGAATGAAGAAAGTGGATGCCACACTTAATTTTCGTGCCGTTCACATTTATAGTGTAACAGTAAACGTAGACGTAATATTGTTAAAACCCTTTCTCAACTGTTTTATTCATTCATCGTATAGTAAAATTTAATCTATAAACCAATTAGGGCATGATTATCCATAGTAAATATAGCAAGTTCTTAAATATAAAATTATTAAAACACACACTCTCTCTTCCTTTTACTCAATTTTATACCTTTTCTTTCATCCTTTTACTCAACTTTATACCTTTTCTTTCATCCTTTTACTCAACTTTTATTAATTTTATATTTAAACACTCCTAAAACCCCTCTCCAAAAGTTTCTTCCCATACAACTTATACATACCCTCTCTCCAAAAAATATCCACTATCTCCTCTCTTTANTCAAATTTTATTAATTTTATATTTNAATNNACCCCACAAAAACACTNTCTTTCATCCTTTTACTCAAATTTTAATAATTTTATATTTTAAAAACTCCTATATTTACTCTTATTACCCACCTATAATCATGCTCTTATATCTATCCAATCCGATTCAGCCATTCAGTAGCATATTGTAGACAAAAATAAAGTAAACCAAATAGTGTTTACATTTATAGACTTTGAATGTTCTTTCATTTCACTCTGGTTCAAACTAATCTATTCAATATTTTAATACGTTTAACCGCATTTTAGAGTATACTTTATGTTTGGAATGAACTTAAAAAAAAATCGATTCAGTAATATTTTGATACGCAAATACATATATATATTTATACGAAATTGATTCGAAAGAAATCAACAAAAATGCTAATGATGAAGAGAATAAACCGATCCAATTTTGGTATGATCCTCAGTGGTCTCTATATCCATTTAAGACTTGGGTGCTGTCGGTTACGCAGTTAATATAACAGCTTAGTCATTTTAGCAAAAGTTTCACTTGTTACCGTTAACCAAATCATCACCTAAATAAAAAAAAAAAAGTCAGCGAAATTAAATTATAGATGCGCGTT